CTAATAATTCCGAAATTAAGAAAATAATTTTAGGTGAGGCACATAAGAGCAAGTTGAGTATACACCCTAGGGCAACAAAAATGTATCAAGATCTCAAGAGAATGTTTTGGTGGCCTAAAATGAAAAAGGAAGTGGCACAATATGTAGACCTCTTGGATTCCTTGGCCTTGGCCATAGTCTATCACGATGAGATTCGAGTACCTGGCTCGTTTCTATTCGCAGGCGATTTCTGAGGCCTAGAAATGCAGGAAATTCGCTGAGGGGTTGAAACAAGAGCTGAAGAGGGTGGTGGTGCCTATGGCCATCACTGAGTTTCTGGCCTTAGTTGAGAAGGCGAAGGTTGTGGAGCGGTTGAAAGGTGGAAACCGTGTGATGAAGACTACTAAGGGACCAGCTGGGTCCAAGAAAGGAGGAAATCAGAGGAAGCCATATGATAGGCCTCAATCACAGCAAGGGGGTCCTGTCATAAGGCAAGGTGCTGATGCTACCAGAGGAGGGTGACAGGGAGGAGGCGTCACTCTTAGACGCTACAAGAGTGCTAGTCCCCATTTTGTTAGGGATTGTCCACACACGGAGAGCCGGTATTTCAGGTGCCATCAGATGGGTCATGAGTCGACCAACTGTCCCGCCAAAAACAGACCGGATAGGGGTGCTTAGAGGGTTGATGCTCAGAGGGGTGATAGACCTACTACTGCTAGGAGAGTATTCGCCTTGACTAGGGCTGAGGCTTCGACTTCTTCTGATCTTGTGAAGGGCAAGGGTAAAGCTACTGGTAAGGATGTGATGTTTTTGTTTGATTTTTGAGCTTCCCACTCCTTTATCTCTTATGCATGTGCTTCTATGCTTTGTGTGCCGGTGTGTGACTTGGGGTTGAGACTGCTAGTGTCGACGCTCGCTTCTACTTTAGTAGTTGTTTCTGAGCTGTGTGTTGGTTGTCTTATTGTTGTGAATGAGAAGAGGTACAAGGTGAACTTGATCTGTTTTCCTTTGGTGTACATGGACATAATCTTAGGGATGGATTGGTTGTCTGCCAATCGCATCCTTATAGATTGTGCCAATAAGAGGTTGATCTTTCCTCAGGTGGAGGAGCTGTTAATTTCAGCTGGCCAAGCTGAATCATTGTTGAGAGATGGAGCAGAGTGCTATCTTCTGCTTGCTGCCATGAATGTGGAGACCGAGAAGGTCATTGTTGATATTGATGTGGTGAGGGATTTTGTTGAGGTGTTCTCGAATAAGGTGCCAGGGTTTCCGCCTACTAGGGAGATGGAGTTTAGCATTGACTTGGTTCCAGGTGCGGGGCCAATGTCGGTGGCTCCCTATAGGATTGCCCTAGCTGAGCTGGTTGAGCTGAAAGGTCAGTTGGAAGACCTATTGGAAAAGCAGTTGGTGCAGCCGAGTGTATCGCCATGGGGTGCTCCCGTGTTGTTGGTGAAGAAGAAAGATGGAGGTAGTCGACTGTGTGTTGATTATCGGCAGTTGAACAAGTTGACCATTAAGAACAAATATCCACTTTCCCGGATAGATGACTTAATGGATCAACTGAAGGGAGCATCGGTTTCTTGAAGATTGACTTGAGGTCAGGTTATCACCAAATCAGGGTGAAGGAGGGTGACATACAAAAGACTGCTTTCAGGACTAGGTATGGTCACTATGAGTATGTTGTGATGTCGTTTGGTGTGACCAACGCCCCGGCAGTGTTCATGGATTACATGAATAGGATCTTCCGGCCCTTCTTGGATAAATTTGTGGTGGTGTTCATTGACAACATCCTTATTTATTCAAGGACCCCGGAGGAGCATGGAGAGCACTTGAGGTTGGTGCTGGAGATTTTGAAGGCAAAGCAGTTGTACGCTAAGCTTTCAAAATGTGAGTTTTGGTTGGAAGAGGTGAAGTTCTTGGGACATGTGATTTCAGCTGAGGGGATTGTTGTTGATCCGGCTAAGGTGGAGTCGGTGTTGCAGTGGGAGCGTCCAAGAACTATCACTGATATTCAGAGTTTTGTGGGTTTGGCAAGTTACTATAGGAGGTTCATTGAGGGATTCTCCAAGATAGTAGCGCCTCTAACCCAGTTGACAAAGAAGGAGCAGCCGTTCATTTGGACTGATGCTTGTGAGCGAAGTTTTGATGGGCTGAAGAGGAGGTTGACTACTTCTCCTGTATTGGTGTTGCCCGAATCTGGTGAGCCCTTTGATGTGTATTGTGATGCTTCTCACCAGGGTTTGGGGTGTATGTTGATGCAAAATAGGAAAGTAGTGGCATATGCTTCAAGGCAACTGAAGAATCATGAGAGGAATTATCCCACTCATGACTTGGAGTTGACGGCAGTTGTCTTTGCCTTGAAGATATGGAGGCATTATCTTTATGGTGCTCGGTTCAGCCTCTTCAGTGATCACAAGAGTTTGAAGTACCTGTTTGATCAGAAGGAGCTGAACATGAGGCAAAGGCGGTGGATGGAGTTTTTGAAGGATTATGACTTTTAGTTGATGTATCATCCTGGGAAGGCAAATGTTGTAGCGGATGCGCTGAGTAGGAAATTCATCCACATGTCGAGCATGATGGTGAAAGAGCTAGAGCTGGTGGAGGAGTTCAGAGATCTGAATCTCTGTGTGAAGTTAGCTTAGGATCACATTAGTTGTGGGATGATTACCTTAACTAGTGAGTTCTTGAGGCAGGTTGGACTGAAACAGTTGCAAGATGTTGAGCTGGTGAAGCTTATTGGTTTTCTGGGGACCGAGAAGGCTGTTGGTTTTAAGCTGGGCGGAGATGGAATCTTGAGGTTTAAGGGCAGAATTTGCCTATTTCATGATGCTGAATTGAAGAAGGCGGTGATGGAGGAAGGCCACAAGAGTAGACTTCGCATACATCCTAGTATGACTAAGATGTACCAAGACCTTAAGAAGACTTTCTGATGGTCTGGTATGAAGAGGGAGATAGCTGAATATGTGACGGTTTGTCTGACCTGTCAGAAGGCGAAGGTGGAGCATCAGAAGCTTAGTGGTTTGATGCAGTAGATGGAGATTCCAGAGTGGAAGTGGGATAGTATCACTATGGATTTCATTGTAGGGTTGCCTAGGTCGGCTAGGAATAATGATGCTATCTGGGTGATTGTTGATCGGTTGACCAAGTGTGCACATTTCTTGCCTATCAACATCAAGTGGTCCTTGGAGAAGCTGACACAGTTGTATGTGAGGGAAATAGTACGGTTGCACAGGGTGCCTTCCAGTATTATTTCAGACAGAGATTCGAGGTTCACTTCCAGATTTTGGCAGATTCTACATCAAGCCTTAGGCACAAAGCTGAAGTTGAGTTCTGCTTATCATCCACAAACAAATGGTCAGTCAGAGAGGACAATCCAGTCCTTGGAGGATTTGCTGAGGGCTTGTGTGTTAGACCACTTGGGAAGCTGGGAGGAAGTCCTACTGCTGGTTGAGTTTACTTATAATAATAGCTTTCATGCTAGTATTGGGATGGCGCCATTTGAAGCCTTGTATGGTAGAAGATGTATGACTCCTTTGTGCTGGTATCAAGATGGTGAGTCAGTGGTTGTGGGACCAGAGCTAATCCTACATACTACTGAGAAGGTGAAACTGATTCAGGAGAGGATGAAGACTACTCAGAGTAGGCAAAAATCTTATGTTGATAAAAGGCGAAAGCCTTTGGAGTTTGCCGAATGGGAGCATGTGTTTCTGAAGGTGACCCCAACTTCTGGTGTGGGTAGAGCGCTGAAGGAAAGGAAGTTGACACCTAGGTTTGTTGGTCCCTATCAGATCATACAACGTGTGGGTCCGGTTGCTTATCAGTTGGCCTTGCCACCGTCTCTTTCAAACCTACACGATGTATTTCATGTATCCCAGCTGAGGAAGTATGTTCATGACCCTGGTCATGTTGTGGAGCTGGATGATGTGCGGGTGAAGGAGAATCTAACGTTTGAGAAGTGGCCGGTAGCTGTGGTGGATCACAAGCTGAAAGAGTTGAGGGGCAAGTCCATTGCTCCGGTGAAGGTGTTGTGGGATGCAGCTACTGGTGAGGCTACTTGGGAGGTTGAGCAGTAGTGCAGGGAGCAGTATCTTTTTCTTTTCTCAAGTAAGTCTGTTTGCGAGGACAAAAATTCCTGTTGTTGGGGAGGTTGTGAGACCTGTCCCTCTCTTTTCTCTCTCAACTATCACTCTTTCACTCTTACGCTCTTGGTCCCTTTTCTCTTCTGATTTCTCAAATCTTTCCTTGTGGTGACCTTGGGTTAAAGGTGTTGATCAAGTTTAGGCAGAGCTAGTTGAGCCGTGCAGAGCTTTCTTTTTCTCAAGCTTCTTCTCCTTCTCCATTGTCTTCTTCCCGGAGCTCGGATTTCTTCACCGAGGTAAGGGAAGCTAGGATTCATGCTAGTTGTACGAAAATGAGTTTAGAAACTCATTGATGGTTTGATGATTTGATGATTGTTGGCTGTTTTTGAAGAAAATGGGTTTTTCAGGTTTCCGGGGTTTGATGAAAAATTTGGGGATTTTGATGATTTGTGGTTGCATGTTGAAAATGAGGTGTTTTTCTTGTTGTTTGATGAAAATGTGGAGCTTTGGGCCGATTGCATGTTTTTGGATGACTTGATTTGTGTAGGTTTTGAAGAAATTTTTGAAGTTGGAGGGTTTCTTATTAAGAGCATGCCGGGAGCAGTTCTTGGCGCCGGGCGCGTGACTATCAGAGGGCACCTTTGGTCGAGCCCATCGGGCGCAAGGTTGTGCACGTCGGGCGAGCTTGAAGAGGGATGCCCCTGGATGGCTCACGCCGGGCGTGGTTGGACCACGCTGGGCGCGCTATCAGTCAGTGACCCACTTCGTTGTGATTCTGGTGTGGCGCCGGGCGTGACTACGTCTCACCGGGCGTGGAGACTCCTTGGGAGTCTCTACCAGAGGTTATGCTGGGCGCAAATGGTATTGCACCGGGCGTGAGACCTTGGGGAGTCTCTGCCTTCCCTGCACCGAGCGCGTATTTGGGCACGCTGGGCGCGTGAGACTCCTTGGAGTCTCTGCCTGGGTTTGCGCTGGGTGCAATTGGTATTGTGCCGGACGCGTTGAGCCCTAGTGCTCTCTAGTTGGGCCACACCAAGCACGACCATGAGTGCGCCGGGCGTGGATGTGTGATTACTTTATATGTTGTTAAGTGTTGAAAATGCTGATAATTGTTGATATGTGCTAAGCTGAGTTGTCATTGATTAATGTTGTTAATGTCGTACGATGAATAATTGTTGAGTTGTGTTGTATGCTGATATTTTTTACTGTGTTGTGTTGTGCTGCATGCTAATATAAATTGTTGTAGGCCGTAAGGCTAAGCTGTTGTAGGCCGTAAGGCTGAGCTGTTGTAGGCCGTAAGACTGAGCTGTTGTAGGCCGTAAGGCTGATCTGTTGTAGGAGATCTTCGAGCTGATGTGGGTGACGACGCATTGTGTGTTTACTGCTGTTTATGTTGTATGACGTGAGCTATATATGTGATGAGTTGTATGCTGATGATGTGTTGATAGCTGTAGCTGTTTACCATTCATGTTTTTATATATATGTATGTTGATTCTTTTTACTAGCTTACCCTTTGTTGTTTCCATGTGGTTTGGACTGCAATGATCATACTATGTATGGGAGCAGAGCAGGGTTAGGTTGGTGGTCTTGAGGCAAGTCTGTAGCTGGCAGATGGAGTTATTCTTTTGTTGTGTTTAACTACTTGGAGTAGCATTGCTGGATGTATTTTATATACTCTGATTTTTTTAAGCCCCAGATTTAACCTTGTGTATATATTTTAGCCGCTTATATATATATGCATGTTCTTGTCTGTATGGTGCCGTATTGTTGAGTTGTGTGAAGGCCAGGTAGGTCGTTACAAATTATATTCATAAAATTTTATGAAGGTTTAGGATCTCATCAAGTAGTAATTATTGAGAAATTAATTTTCGATTATCTAGACATTTTAGAATTAAAAAATATCAACAACATATTTTTTATTATTAATTAAAATTTATTAAAAAATATAATTTTTTACGAGTCTCACACCTCACTTCTTATTTAATAAAAACTAGATTTAATACCATATGATCTACAATTTTTTTTTTGGAAGATTGGATGGTTTGATATTTAATTAATTGATTATATAATTAAAAATCAACAATAATATATATATATAATATAATGTAATAATATTAATAATTAGTCTAAAATAAATTTTAAAAAATAATATAAACTAACTTGTTACCTTTTATTCAAGAAGAATCATTTCCATACTAAATGACATTCTTATTATTAAATATTGACATAAAAGTTTTTTTATTTACAATATTTGTAGGATAGAAGTTTGATGGTTAATGGATTATAGCAGGAGATATTAACATACAAAAATAATTTTAAACGAAAAAAATTAACAATAACATTTTTAATTATTAATAAATAGTAATAAAATTTAAATTTAAATTTAATAATCTTTACTAAGTATTTAATATAATTACTAAAATTGTTTAATTATGATGATAAAATATTAAAATATATTTCGATATTTAAAATCTTGAATGCAATTATTTTTTTAAAATGCAAATTTAATACTGATTACTAACTTTTATTTTATAATTTTTGGACAAATATTTATAAACGAATAATTTTTTATTTGCTTATAAGTGATTAAATATTTTTAGATAAATAAATTATTATAATAATATTTAAGAGTAAGTAATATTATAATTTTTTTATTAACGTTAATTAATACCGTAATATCTCTTAATTAAAGGATTTAAGTCTTCATGGATGAAAACATTTCAATTTTTTTATGATTTAAGTCATTTAAAATTTTTAATAATTTTTTATATCACTTTTTATTCATTGATTATAATTATACAAACTAATATTTTTCAAGTGTTTTATTAATATTTTTGATTTTTTGTTTTGCTCGGATTATAATGTACATTTAATATTTTATTAAATTAATCATTTAATACCTTAATTATTTGTTTTGATAAAGTTTATAACGATTATAATAATTTTTTTATTTGTTTTTGTCCGGATTATAACGACTACAAATCAGTTAATTATTTTTATTTTTATTAATGATTAGTAATTATTAAAATGTTTTATTTAAATTTTTTTAATTCATTTTGATATATTTGTTTTTAAAAATTATTTGGGTATAATTTTATTTTATAATATTCCAGAAATATAATAATGATTAGTAATTATTAAAATATTTTATCTAAATTCTTCCTTTCATTTTGTTATATTTGTTTTCACATATTTGTTTTTTTAATTACTTTATAATATTTCCCTTCAAAAAATTACTTTATAATATTCAAGAAATATAATAATGATAATTAGCTATTAAAATATTTTTATCCAAATTTTATCTTTTATTTTAATATATTTGTTTTCATATATATTTTTGAATTATTTTCATAGAAAATTATTTTATAATATTTTGGAAATCTAAAAATATTAATAATCATTAAAATATTTTTATCCAAATTTTATCTTTCATTGAGATGTATTTTATTTTTTTAATTATTTTTTAATATTATGAAAATCTAATAATAATCCATGATTATATAATATTTTTAAGCCAAAGTTTATCTTTTATTTCGATGTATTTGTTTTTTATTATTATTTTTAGTAGCACTTTATTTTATAATATTGTCAAAATCTAATAATGATTAGTATTTATTAAAATATTTTATCCAAAATTTTTATTTTATTTTAATATATTTGTTTTTTAAATTATTTTAAGTATTACTTTATTTTATAATATTGAAAAATCTAATAATGATTAAAAATTATTAAAATATTTTTTTGCAAATTTTTCCTTTTGTTTTGCATTTTTTGTAATAGTTTAGTTTATAATACTGTATAAATTTAATAATGATCAATAATTAATTATTAAAATGTAACGACTTGATAGGTCATTACACTTACTATTAAAGACTGTTGTGTAGCAAAAGACTAAGCAACATGTATCAGAATAAGAGTTTATAATACATAGAAACAATATACAAAATATAGTACTAAGAGTAAAATAAATCTAAATTTTTATCGACATCTATACAAAATTCTACTACATAGGAGTAGTCAAACACAACCAAAACTAGTCACCTCCATCATGACTATCCTCCAACTATGTAAATCATCCTACTAATTATGTTCTGCACTTATACCAGGTATGATAATCATATTTTCAACTATAAGGAAAATGTAACACCCCATTTTTTCCCGATAATTGGTATTGGTAGGGTAATGAAATCAAAGAAACTCGCACCTCGATTTATTGGTCCTTATCAAATCCTCAGAAAAATATGTTCGGTTGCTTACCAAATTTCTTTACCTCCTTTTCTTGCTAATCTTCACAATGTTTTTCATGTGTCTCAGTTAAGAAAATATATTTCTGATCCATCTCATGTAATAATGCCTGATACAATACAGTTAAAGGATAACCTTACATTTGAAACAATGCTTGTACAGATCGCAGACAGGAGAATCAAGTAGTTGAGAGGCAAACAAATTTAACTGGTAAAGGTCATTTGGAATGATGACACTGGCGGCGCTACATGGAAATTAGAAGAGAAAATTAGGAAAATTTATCCTTATTTATTTTAAGCAATAAAAATTTCAAGGACAAAATTTTTGTAAGTAGGGGAGAAATGTAATATCTTAATTTTTAGATACAATTATTATATATATATATATACACACACACACACACACACACACATATATATATATATATATATATATATGTATATATAATAGAAAATAAGTACAATATTTTATATAATTACAGAATATTAAATCTTTATTACAAAATTTTCAGTAAAATAAAATAGAATCATATAATATTTATTC